ATTTGCTAATTGTTAAGTTGTAAAAACCATCAAATGTTCATTGATGTTTTTGGTGGCATAAATAGCCAACAACAACAAATAGGATAATCTAACTGTAAAAATTACTGGGCTAGTTGCAGTTTATTTCTACTATTCAAGAAAATTAACAGTGAATAATTCAAACAGTAAAAAGTTAGTTTCAATAAGAATTTGAAGCCTACAACAAGCAAAATAAGTCATTCTAAGTGCTAAAAATAAGATACAGTAATCAGCTTAAGTTGTAAGCTGATAAGAGTGGTGAGCAAATTTAAATTCCAAAGGAACACTAAGTTAAGAACGAGCAAAACAAACATTCGACATAAGTTTTCCCTCCTATCCCGTAGAAACCAAATAATACCAACACAAATGACAAGAAAAAAAAATTTTTTTTACCCATTAATTCTTTTCCTCCCCTTTTTTTCTCCTGTTTTGTTTTCATTAGCCTCCTCAACAATCAGAAGCCCATGTCAATAAATCTGATTAGGAAAGTGAGCCTCAATTTGTGGCATCGATAATTCTCGTGAAAAGATCTACCATTAACTTTGTTCTCTCTATTGGCGCACTCGTAGAGCTCAGCTTAAGTTGATTTAATTCACTTTACTTTTGATTTTGCAGCAGTTGTAAAGAAGAAAAAAAAACAATTAAATATACTATATATCTTTTAATAAAAAAAAATAAAAACAATTATCAAGAAAAAGAACTAGTAAAAAATGTTTTATCCTTCTCTTGTCTCTATTTTCATGCCTTCAACAAAAACTCGAAGTATTGAAGTTATATCTGTTCTATTTTCCGCTTTTTTTTTCTGATTTGTCAAAAAAAGAAAGGATTCAATTTAGGGAAATTAAACCTAAAGAAGCATCCGCCTTTCAATGTTGCTCAAAAACTGCCCAAAAACTGGACTAACAACCATAACTGCTTGCCGAGCTCAAAATAAACAAAAAACAATCATCCATCTTAGACTGATAGATAAAACTAAAAAAAAAAAAAGAAAAAAAAAAAGAAAAAAGGAGCTATGACAGACCACTGATTGCTCTTCTCTTCAATTGAAACATTCCTTCTTCAAAATCCTATCTAATTGTATGTCTTTCCATCAGTCTTCCTTTACCTCCAAAACCCGATTTAAAAGATGTACCCAAGAAGCAAAGAAACCAGTATCAGACATTTGAATACTTGTCACTTGACAGTTTCAAACTTTCATTAGACTGTCTCAAAAATAAGAAATGAGAACCAAAAAAAAAGTT